CATCTCTCAGCGCCTGCCCCTGGCTCCGTCTCAGCCTCTAACCGCTGCTGATGATGATGGCCCCAAAGTTGTAGCCATAAAAATTAAAACCATAAATTAAATGAGTATTTATTTACTGCCCCGTTCGCTGCATTTGGCGCCCCAAACAAGTTGGCAACAAAAAAGACCAAGACTCACAAGCCATGCAGAAATTTAATTAACGCTTCTGTGTACATGTACTAGACACAGCGGGCGAGGGGCGCGGCTGCCAGCTCTGGGGGTGTGTGGGTGTTGGGGGTGTGACTAGAGAGCGCTTGTTGCATGAACATAATTAACGATTAATTAAACAGCGCCGACTGAAAATGTTCCTGCAATCACAACCTTGCCACATAAATTTACATAATTTTTTTACTCCCCTCTTTTTATTTGAAATGAGAAGAGAAAGCCGGCAAAAATTATAAGGAAATCATTTTTATTGCCAAGACTTGGTTGAGGTAACGCCCAAGCAATTATGCAAATATTCTGATCATTTTCACTGAATTACTAAGAATAAAACTTACTTTATATTTTCTCCCAGACTAAATACTATTTTATTTATAAAAATATATACAATTATTTATAAATGAGCTCAGCTTCTTCTTACCTTTACCAATATACATACTCTAATAAATGTAAAGGCCTTAAAGGCCAAACGTGATTTTTCAGAAATTTTGCCATGTTTTTTTTCTTGTCTTCAATTTCAATCTAATTTTTTTGTAATCCTAAAAACATTTAATATGGGTTTATGATACGCTTTTATAGCCCAGAAACACACAAATAGTAGAAATGCTTTTTTTTTTTGTGTTTGGCCATTTCCCGGACATTTGCCTTAACCCAATCGATCGTAAAAAGTCAGCCATGGCATATGCAAATAACAGTTAAGAAGGAGCTGAGGGCATGTATTTAAACCGAAGTGGTCAACATAATTGGCTCAACAAAGAGTTAAAGGCCTGTTTAAGGTGGGCTGGCTGCCACGCCTCTCTCAATTGATTTAGTTTACCTGGCCTGGGCAGGTAGATCTGTTTGCCAACGAACGCCCACAGAAACAACTTGACTTGGCCCGAATGTCAATGCAGCAGGGGCATAATTTACAAGCTGGCCAGCTAAAAGTGCCACACAGTCACAGCTCGCAGCTCACAGATACAGATACAATTGTCGAAAGATACACAAATTCAGATGAAAAAGTTGCAAAGCATTTGCGGGTCAGCTAACAGGTCATAAATCAGCCGCAATGCAAGGGGCCAAGTTGACTGACCAACGTCTTGACTCCTAGTTCTACTACCTGTATCTGTAGGTGTGTGCGTGTATGTGGGTGTGCGCGCTCATAGGTATGAGTGTGTGTGTGTGTGAGTTTGTGTGCATCATAAACTTTCAAGGTCCGGCCGTGTGCGCATTCAATGGAAATGCATTGCGGAAAAAGGATGTGCGCTGCACCGTGCTCTCACCTTGATTTTTATGACATGTAAATATTTATGGTTGACACGACCTTGTCAATTCCCGCTCTGCTGTCTCTAATACACGTATCCTGTCACTCACACACACACACACGCACACTTTTTTATGATTCGCCTGAAAAAATTGCTGGCTGCCATTTGCCAGGAAAAACGCTGCAAAAATTTTATGATGCGCATAATTTTCCAAATGGTTTTCCTGTTCCTTGCCCCTTGGTGCAATCGCTTGCCCCGGCTTGGTTCCGGTTGCCTTCGCTGACGGCCATAAAAAAATTGACTTTATAATCTGTTTTTGCGGATCGCAGTAATTTGCGAACTCTCCTCATTGCCAAGCCATACTCTTGGCCATTATCACGCCCATTTATGATCCCAACATAGCTTCGTTTGCAATTTTCCTCTACACATTTTTAGAAAAAGAAAATTGGCAACTTTTTGCCACTTACCTGCTTATGATTGTGTTGTGCAATTGTTCTGTGAGTGAACGTCAGCTCACTGAATGAATATCTGAATTGAATATTAAAACTTTGGATAAATTTCTTTTGCAACTATTTAGCTTAAGCTCTACACACAAAATAAATGCCCTATTTTTTAAATTTCCAAACAATTGTTTAATCGTTGTGCTAAGGAAGTTTACTAAAAGTGTATCAAATAAAATCATGTTAAGAGTAATATAGTTATTTTAACTTATAATATTTAATCCAGAATTATTAAAGTAATATAAGTACACTAAGTTTTCTGTCTTAGTTAGCTCTAATATATATACCATCGTTCTATACAATCCACCTCTGCAAAGCTTGTAATTACTTGTGTTTGTCATTCTGATCAATAAAACAGCTAAAACAAAAGCAACGTAAATTTCTTCCTCAAAATGCTCTTACTACAATATCTCACAGCTTTAATGTATTTTCATGGCACTTTTTTATACACTGCACCGAATGTAGTCTATGTTTCTAAATACTCCCACGCTTTTCAAGACAAACACCTCGCACACACTCACTTTCTCTCTCTCTCTCAATCGCTGACACCACTCACTCAACAGTCACACACTTGGACTAGGTGTACAACCGTAGTAGACTGAGCGACACTTGAGTCGAACGAACCCCAGGCGCAAACCCGAGCACCGCTGGTGATCGCGGCATGTGCCAAAAGGCGTCCCCGGGTCGTTGGTTGCCCCGTTCCGCTGTGGCTTGACTCGTGTCCACGTCCAATGGGTCAGACACACGCCCAGTGTTTTTGCGTAATGTGGCCAATGTGTGTTGCGTGACTTTTTGCACTGGCATGACCTTTCTCGGCGCTTCTCAAGCTCTAAACTTGGTCGCAGCCAACTTTGTCCATTTACATTTAGCATTTGCTACCATTTCTCACTGCTCGATGCCCTGCTGAGCCATCTTTTTCCCCATATGCTTATGTATGTTTATTTACATTTTTCACAATTCTAATTTGTTGCTGCCTCATCGCGCTGTTTTGTTTTCACAATAACTCAGAGAGACAGACAGAGAGTGAGAGCCTGGAAAACTCTACTGCAAGTTTATTGCAGTTTTCTATTTTCAAGTGGCTGCTACAACTGCATTATTTATGCGCCTCGTTCGCCATGTGCTAGAAATCCACTTGGCCCCATCAGCCATCAGGCATCAGCCAGAAGGCAACAGTTCAGCTCGTGTGGCGAAAGCTGCAGTCGTCCTCCCCATCTCTCGATGCCGTCCCTCAGCCCACCGCCGATTGCTCGGCTATGTGGAGCAATGGCTTCATTTCAAATGACAACTGCCGCTTGATGCGCCGCGGGTTGGATCCCAAGTTGTTGGACTAGTGCGATTTTTTGCTCTTATGTTGTTGTTTTTTATGGTTTTGCCCAGACCCAAAATGGGCAACGGCTGCCATTCAGCGCTGTGTGTTTTGACATTTTAATAGCCGCATCGTTTGGCCACTTTGATGGCCTTTGCTCAATGACATTTAATGTCACAATTTGCGCGACTTTTAATTGCCGCAATATAAGCTAAGCCAGCAGCTAACAGAACAGCAAAGATCAGATAGAGAGTTGCCGTGGATAGACCAAGAAATCCATATCAACTAAGCACTGAATAATCTAAAATATTGCCAAGCACCGATCCACAGAGAAGGCCTTCAGCAGAGCTGAATAAAAATCAATTATCCAATCGCGCTAACAATGGGCATCATTATCGAAAACCAATTAGCTGAACGACTTGGCTAAGCGAAACGGATTTTAGAATTGCGCCCCATCAATTGGCACCGAAATATCAAAACACCGAAATGTGCGATCGATCTCATGATTATAGATTAAGTTTATTTCAAATTCCATAAATTAAGAAACAGCAAATCGTACGTAGCAGCGTCTAATGAAAATTTATGTCTTCATTACGCAACAGCGAAAAATGGATTTTCATTTCGAATTAAATAAACAAATGCCTCGTATAGAAATGTGGCTAAAATCATTAAAATCAATAAAATAAACAGCGTTAACGTTGTTTTTAACTGCAACCTGACATGGCGCCAGAGATGCTGAACATAAGCCAGATAAAGGCGAGACGGATATAAAATGGCTGCTCTAAAGCATAAGACATATACATATGATATAAGATATACATACGCTATATGATAAATAAGCCTGCAATTAGTGAAACTTGCAAAAGTTTCACTTGCTAGTTGCATACAGCTCCATTGCGGATTGGCTATTGGCCACACGGCCAATGACAGCGACGTGCATAGGGCGCATGTCGCGCCACGCCTCACTCGCCACTCACCCGCTAATACACCCACATATGCAGTGGGTGTTTAACTTCGATGCCTAACCGGTTCTGCTTTCAGTGGGTGCGAGTGAAATGACAATATACAGAGCAATTCCAATTGGAGATGATGAGAAAGTTAGATAGCTATTGCTCCTACTTTAACATACAGCGATACACGAGCAAAGCTGCCATTTTGTATATGCTTTGCGCTCACACTTGCAGTGACGCCTGCACTTCAGCAGGGTGAAATACACCACGGCTACTATGCGAGAGTATGCGTGAGAGAGGGAGAGAAAATAGAATAAGCCTTGCTGTTAACTAACAGCAGTTTCTCCTTGACTTAACAGCTTAACAGGAGGATCACATAGCAGAAGTTTATATAGTCAGCTGATCTGAAATAAAAATGTGTCATTCAACTATAATACTTTTAATTGTTGTTTGTGTATAACTTAATTAATATGTATGATATTGTTTAAATAAGAATTTATTATTTTACTAACAGAAGTACTACAATTATAAATAAAAAATAAATAAATTGAAATATAACAGACCCGTGTCGATTAACAGCAAACTCACCTGCCTTATGTTAGGCTTCCGAGAAACCCACCACACTATGTTAGAGCGTACTCGCTCTTGCTCTCGCTCACTCACACTCACGCTGTGGTGCGGTATGAATAGACACGCCTACGATTGGTGGTTGCTCGCACGTATATGTTAAGTGTTTGTGTGTGTGTTGTGTAGCCTGTTTTTTTTGCTGTAGGCACAGCCCAATGTGAGCGCACACACGGAGTGGAAAATCAGTTCGCGATGGAACTCTGAGCAATGCGTTACAATTCAGTCCTGCTGCGAATCTTGTGACGTTTAGACGCTGAACGGTTATCGCGCGTGTTTTTAGTAAGCAGACAACAGAAATAAAAATAAAACGCGCGCGCGCTGTGCGACACAAGATAAACGAAAGCTAACGCGCTAAATATACATACATCGAATAAATATACAGATATATACAAATAGTAGGCATATGTGCATTGAGTGTGTGTTTGTGTGTGTATATGTGATGGGAGCCACGTTCTGAACCGTGTGTTTCTGTGTTTCCTAATTCAAAACTTGAGCCAATTGTAAAACTTGTCGTGACAAAATGATGATGAACGCATTTATAGAGCCCGCGCAGCATCATTTGGCCAGCTATGGGCTGCGCATGTCGCCGAATACAACGGCCAGTGCTGTCAATGCCAACAATCAGCAGCTGGAAATGCAACAGCAGCAGCAACAGCAACAACAGCAGCAGCAGCAACAACAGCAGCAACAGCAACAGCAGCAACAGCAACAACAGCAACAGCAGCAACAACAACAACTGGAAGGCGATTCTACATCGCTGGCGGCAGCGGCGGCTTATCAGAACTCCGGCTATGGACACTTCAATAGCTATGCCTCTCGAGACTTTCTGCTGGGCCGACGCGGCGATGCTACGGACTATGCCGGAGCAGCTGTGGCTGCCGCTGCCACAGCGCCGACTGCCGCTGGAGCGGACTCGATGCTGTTTCCCAGTTTTCCGGCCCAGGCGGCCGCCGCTGAGCTGAGCAGCAGCTTTGGCCAGCATCCATTTCACAGCGCTGCCCACCATCATCATCAGCATCAGATGCGCATGGCGGACTATGCGACGCATCCGTACGCCCAGCATCATCATCATAGCAACTTTCCGTCGGCAGTGCATGCGGCACATCATCATGCCGCTGCCGCCCATGCCCACGCCCACCATCCGCACCATGCGATGTCGGCGATGCATCCGGCTGGGGCTGGTGCCTTCCTGCGCTATATGCGCCATCAGCCGACATCGGCGGCATCCAGCGTCAAGCAGGAGATGCAATGCCTGTGGATAGATCCCGATCCGCCGGGCATGCAGTCGCAGGGTGCACAGGGCCGCAAAACCTGCAATAAGATCTTTCACTCCATGCACGAGATCGTGACGCATCTGACCGTGGAGCATGTGGGCGGGCCGGAGTGCACCACGCACGCCTGCTTCTGGATTGGCTGCTCACGCAACGGCCGGCCCTTCAAGGCCAAATACAAGCTGGTCAATCACATACGCGTCCACACCGGCGAGAAGCCCTTCGCCTGCCCCCATCCCGGCTGCGGCAAGGTCTTTGCCCGCAGCGAGAACCTCAAGATACACAAGCGCACCCACACGGGTAAGTGTTACAGTCACATGCAAAGCATTTTCCTGCCACGGGGTTTAACCCCTGGGCAAATCCCGCAGCCATGCACACGGTGCATGCTCACGCCCACGCCCTCGCCCACGCCCTCGCCCACGCAATCGCCCACGTCCACGCCTCCTGTTACCTGACCTAAGTCCTGTTTACGATCACCACCTGTACGAGCTGAGCCTAAGCCTTTCGCTCAAATCCTTAACAATATTTTTGTGTGAGGCTAAGTCCCCGAAGGGCTTGACTTCGACTTCGACTTTTCAGTGGTTTAGCTAGGGGATCTATGTGGGAATCCAGTGTTGACTTCTAACAACTATGGAGCTGGGATAATCACAGCTGTTGTTCACAAGTTCTTAAGCGAGTTATATGAAAATAGGAATTAAATATTTAAAAACGTAAATTTGCCATAGGAAATAGAATATATTTGAAGAGTTCTTAAAAATGTGAAATGAGCTCAGCTCTCAAGTTTTGAAATATTTTCGTTTACATACATCCTGAAGCAAATTGAATATAGATTGATTCTTATGTTGCCTATTAATCAACATTAACATTTCTAATAGATATTAAGAATTGATTAGCTTATTTGCTTAACAATATATTTTGGTTTCTTAGCTGAGTTTTCTCAGTATGCTCCAGTTCCATAACAATTTGAAACTCTATATTATAATCACACTCAGGCTACTTGGCATAAATCTTGTCTAAGCTCGTCTTATCTCTATTATGCATCGTTCTACACCTCTTATCACGCACACATCTCTAATGCCAACAATTGTTTGACTTGTCTCGGTTGAGGGCAGCCCACATATCATTTTGGCAGCCCAACGACTTTAACTTACGCTCTTATTCGAAAATAAATTGCGCACATATCAACGCGTTTGCATAAACTAAATCAAAAGTTTAATGTAGCATGGCGTCTACCCAAAATATTTACACACACACACATACACACATATATATACAGACATATACACATGTACACACCCAAGCGTCGCGCCCGCTTTGAATGTGAATTGCGCTGATTTTTGTGATTTTACCCCAGTTTCGATTGGAGTGCAGAGCACGAAGTGGCTAGAAGTATTTCCGTGCGATTACAAACGGAAGTTTTGACACGTGTCAACACACACACACACATATGCACACACACTCGTACTGGCTCAAGTGTGTGTCAGTCAATGTAATAAAAACAAACACCCAGTGCAGGCAGTTAAGAAAAACCAAAAACGTTGCTGATTGAATTTTGATTTATATACTAAAGAGCCAGAGGGAGGGAGAGAAGAAGAGTGAGAGACGAGGGGAAGAGTGTGAGCGAGCTAGCTGGAGTGCGGGTTTCTCCTTCTCTCAGGTCAAGTGTCAGTCCCAGGTTAAAGGCCTCTCCTACCATCTTCAACTCTAATGAAGTTGTGCCGTCGGCCACTTCAATGAGAAATTCCCCAAAAGAGCAATGGAAATAAAAAAATAGAATCTCTCGGCCAATCATGTACACAAAATATTTATTTTTTGCTGCATCATCTTAGAAATTAGTCAAAAATACAATAACAAAATAAAAGAGAGACTAGAAAAAAGATCGTTATGCTACACACACACAAACACTTATACATCCAATGGTTGTATGTCATGCAAGATGCTGGAATATGGCGTCTTTGGCCTGAAAATCGAATCAAACATTTTAATTACCTTTCAATGAGTGTGCAAAAGAAATTTGTCTGTTCAATAAACTCAACAAAAAAACGAAAACAACAAAATCAAGCGCAATAAATCGAATATCACAAATGATTTGTATTTCAATTGTGTATAAATTTCAAGCTCATTAAATTTTTTGAATATTCATTCGAATTTCTACATAGATATGTACAACTGTGTGTGTGTGTGTGTGTGTGTGTGGGAGTAAATGATTTTTACTAGCTCTAAAATGAAGCTGCTTTAGATACTAAACTTTTATTAGCCTAATTCACATTGCTGAGTTTTTTTAAGAGAATTATGTTTAGGCAATAGAATATAAAATAAAAAATTCCTTTACACTTAGCTATTTTGCATTTTAACAAAAATTATTATTGATTCAGTCAGTTTTTGTTGTTGCTTTGTATCAACAAAATTAATGTGTTCAATATATTTTTCGCTTGAGCTGGTCTTGTCCTCGCTTCTTTTTTTGAGCTTAACGTCAACACTCCGGATCAACATTTATAATATTTTGTTGTTTTATTTATATTTTTTTTTTAATTTTTTTTTTAATTATGAATAATACTCGCGTCTAAGCCATATTAATGGTTTTGTGTTGCGATAGCGAGTAGAATCAGGAAAAAGTCTACGTGGAAATATGAAAAGAATAAAAAGCAAAGTTTGAATATTTCTACTATATGTAAATACAAACATAAAAACTTTCTTAAAATGAGGAGTAGTTTCGCAGACTATCCGCGACTTCTGTTACCCATCTAAGTAACAAGTAATTGCAGCTGCAATGCCTTAGTTGTAGTTTTATTTTCATGCTTTTACGCCAGCATTCACACAAATGCCGACAGCGTGTTTAGTTCATTATAAGCAGCAAAGGTTTTAGTGTCTCTAGCGAGCATAAAAAACAATTAAACAAGCAATTAAAAACACTTATTGCATTGTTGTTAGCAGAGAACCCAACCGAAGCGAATGTGGCACATGTAAGCCGAGTATCGAACCCAAATATAATTGCTTTAAAATTGCGCCACTCGTTTTAATAAACCAAACACAAAAGCTATTTGAAGCCAAAACAACAACAGCTCAATAATGAAAATGCAAAAAAAAAAACAACAGCTTCAGCAGCGTGTGCCAAAATGAAAGCTAAGCCAACAAAAACAAACAGCAGCAATAACATAGCGGAATGTAAAGGGAGAGAGCGAGAGCGCGAGAGAGTGGGCGTCGTATTATCCTTGTTTGCCCTTAACACAGCCTTCGTTTATTAAAAGCGCGCTCTGCATACAAACAAACAGCGAACGCACACACACACACGCACACACACAGGAATACACATAGAAAGTAGAGATTACAGCCTAGGGTAGGCAGCCAGGCAGCCAGCTAGACAGCAAAAGCAACAACAACAACAACCGCTACATATACGCACAGGCCATCCACAAAATGGCGTTTATATTGCTTGGCATATTTTACGCAGTTTGTTTGCTTTAATTTTAGCTTTGCACTCCTTCCCTCCCGCTCGCTCCATAGTGGCGCGAGCTTTAACAAGAGTCTGGTTATTTGCTTTCGGAGTAGCGAACGTGAAATACCCTTGAAGATAGTCGGCTAATGAAATATGTGAATTTGTATTTATATATGCATAATATGTATCAAATGGAAGGTAATATGGGATATCACTATAAGTGATCCAGAAAATGCATACTATCTTATAGCGTTCCCCCTCAATATGCTGGAAAATTCAGGATAAGCTTGTAAAACTCGTTGCAAGGGTATATTATTATTTTTCGTGTGGCTTTTAGAGTTTTCATATGCGTAAATACTTTTGTAAATTGCATTAAAATATTTTTTGAAGTCGTTTTATTATCGTGAGCTTTGGTGGAGTTCATATCGTATGCTTGTGATTTTTTTTGTTTTTTTTTGCAATCATGATAAATTGCGCTTTCAGCTCGAAGTTTATTAGATCTCTACGGCCATAAGTTAGCAGATTTTATGCACAGCAAAAACAGTTAGTTTATATATTTATTTTATTTTGCACGCCATGTGTAGCTTCTGCTTCAAAACTGGTTAAGAATTTGTAGTCACTGGGACTATCGATTTGAACGTTTTCTTCATACGTAATGTTGATTACACTATCGAACTTGACTGTTGCCTATCGGTTTTTGGCCATCACTAATGCAATTAATCTTTACATCTTTGTCTACGTTCCGTATTTCTGTGGCCTGTTAACTTTGCACTTGTCATTTGCCCAATGCCTGCACTCTGTGTGCTCTCAGTCAAAACAACAATAACAACAGCAACGTGAAAGAGCAGCCAGAACAATCAACGTTTGTCTGCTTTGTTATTGCTTTGCCTGCCAGTTGACACCTTGCCCAACAGCTTTTATCTGTGTGTGAGTATCGAGTTGGAGCTACATGAATGGCGTTTATCATGGTGTGCGGCTTTTACATGGCTCACTCTATAGCTGCCCTCAACGTCTGTCACTCTCTCCCTCTCTCCCTCTCTCTCTCTCTCTCTCTCAGTCTCCCTGTTTTTCTCGCTCACACAGTCACTCTCCATCTGTGCGCTGCTCTGGAGAGTTTTATTTTTATTTTCGATGCACTCCTGCGGCTGCTACACCACAAACAACAACTTTATTCATTAACACCTACAAAAGCCGGAGCAGCTGGTCCCAAATGGCCAACAACTTTGTGGTTAGTTTTGCAGTTGCCGCTGCCAGGCAAGCTGATTATGTTTATGTTGACACCGCCTCTCCGACATCTCCATGCCACCCGCTTTTTCGCCTCTTGGCCTCTAGCAAGTGCAGCAGCTCCTTGTTGTTGTGCATTTAGCCATGTCCTTGCTCCTGACTGCTGGCTGCTGGCTGCGGACCCTTGTAAACGCTGATTAGCTGCTGCTTCCTGAGTCCGCCACTCGATTTAATTGTGCTCAAGTGATTTTTTAATGAGTCTTTTATGAACTCGTCTTGTAGTGGAAAAAAAGAAGCATGAAAAAATCCATTTCCCACCACATTTCCTTTCTGAGCTTCGTAGTCAGCGAACATTGTTGGGAGAGAAGTTTATTGCAGTTATCAAAATGAATATGAAATTCAGAAAGGAACATCGTAAGGACAACACGTATAAACATAAAGTATACGAAGTTCATATAGCTATATCCTGCTGTTCGCATAAAGACATTAATACAGAAAACTCGAAGAGTTATATAAAATGTTGATACGATACGATCTGATCGACTAATCGTTTATCGATAATAACGATTACATATACATATGTATGTATCAGGAGTACAACTCGGCGTGCTAAAGTTAACAGCGCTGTTAGCTTACAGCG